AAGTTGTACTGTCCATTCCAGGCTCTGAAGAAGGCGACTTAAATGTCGGCCAATGAACTATTAACAATCTCGAATCAAGGCTCAGAACCACAACTACAACATCAACATCTTGCCGAGTTCATATAGAGTCACATACTCCATCTAACAACCTCCTCTTCTTTCTGAGAGAATTGTGTTCCTGCACCTGCTTAGAGCAAGCCCTTTTCTTGCCTATTTTGCAATCAATCGATGAACAGATTGTACCAAGGACTTTGACCTCGACAGTCTTCTTGCGAAATTGCAGCTGTCGACTGAATTTTGGTTTTAGAACACGAAATTTCGAAAACAAGAAGGCCACATCATTTGACAGGCAGCTGTATCAAAAATGATATCATGATGAAGAAAGGCTCTGATTGAACGGGAAAGATACTGTACCGTTTGCTTACATTAAACAACATCCTCATGCATCTGCACCAATCTCACATCACCAATTATGAAATCGCGGTGAAAATTCGTGCAATTGCAGCTAACCAAAAATTTTTGCTCTTCGGCGGAAGCTCAGAAGCGGACTTGTAGCTTTGCATCACGTTGCGTGTCGTCATTGCAGCTGTGCCGATTAGAGAAAACAGAATATAAGCACTTCTATGCTTTGCTAAGGCAGTCTCTAGAGTTCACCGCTGTTAGCCATGTTAGTATATCTAGCTATTGTAGGCCTCCTTTACGGAGTCAACGCTAGAATGATTCCCCCCGACGTTAGTTTATTTTATCTATTTGAATGGGGTCAAAGCTAAAGTCTGATCAAGTTTCAGGTAGAAGAAAGCATTTACCACAAAGATAGGCAAGCTAGACAAGGTATTACAGGTATCATGTTTACCTTGGATAATGGCTGATTTTCAGCATGCTTCGACAGAGTGGACCCACGCACTGGTGTTTCGGACTGCCCAAGTAAGAAATCTCTCTGCACGAACCCAGCATATCAACGAGTGTTGTCGGAGCAGTGTCCTCTGACATGTGGAAAATGTCCAGGCGTTTTACCAGACCCCGGTGAGCTCATTTGTTTCAAGGCAGGATCCTGCACTGGTAAACTCTGCCGTAAAATAGAATGAGCACTGCGATTTGAATAACATCGTTGTTTCATTCTAGGAAAATGTTTCGACCGAGTGGACCCACGCACAGGTGTTTCGAACTGTAATAAGGCGCTTTGCACAAACCCAGCATATAAGAAGGTAATGGAGGAACAATGTCCGTTGACGTGCAACAGATGCCCTGGCTCCCTACCAAACCATTAGAATCAACACCAAGTTATTGCATAGTAAAGTTTCTCAGTGATCTTGTAGAATAGCGTGTACGCCTCTCGATCTTGTAAAAGTCGTGCTAATATTTGTGAGCTAACTGTCCAACTCGAGTGAAACAGAAGATGGCGAATATGACGTTAACTCAGAAAAGTTGTGTAGCCTTTCATCACATTCCTTGGCAGAATTTGCGAAGGAATTGTGTAAGGGTGTGCAGCTTTTCAATTCGACCCGAATTGTTTCGAAGGCATTTATAGGATACTAGCTGGCATACCCGGCTCCGCCCGGTCCA